ACAAGCTAAGTGGCCATTCTGATCGTTTATTATCATGTGACCGTACTGTGTAGTAACAACTAATGACCACACTATACCCGCAGTGGCCACTATGTCCACCCTTTCCTAACTGAAGTGCAGTATTACTCCACATCTGCTTATATTTTTTTGTACAGATCAAGATTACTATTGTTAAGAAAGCCCTATAAACCAATGTATTTTTGCTCGTATCCCGTTATTAGAATATGTATTTAGGTACTTTATTTAGGATAAAGTTAAGTTAAAAGAAATAGTAATAATAAAGTCCTTATGCAGAGGGTAGGTGACAGATATATAATATTTGCTATGATTTTTCAGTAAATTCCTTTCAAAACCTTTCATTTTACATCCACTTCAAAAAAATTGACTTATTCATTGTTTCTGTTAAACCAAATTTTTTGTATCTAGAAAAAACCTTTAAGCGAAAGTATTTTTAGCTTCTAAAACTGTTTTTATCAGCCCTTCTACCCTATGTCATGCTTTATACATAACACATCAGACCTTTCTACAAGACCTTTGTATTATTAATCAAACCCTACAAAATATTTTATAAGATTTATACCTCGAAACTTTATACTAGACTAATTATCGTGTGACACTTCTAGCATCTCATAAAAATGTTGCAAAGTGGTTTTAAAAATTAAAGGAGCATCACCATGCCCATCTGTATACCCAGCTAACTAGCTTTGCCATAATATTATCCTGAGCTAATGTTGGCTTTTAGTTTAATTACATGGAAACTAGTTTCTCCAAGGTAGATAAATATCTCGGGAAATAATTATAACGTCTGGCAAGGATTTGCTAATTAGAAGGTTGTTAAAGCTCTGTAGCATGTGTTAAATGCATACGAGTTTAGTTTGAGACACGTTTGAATGCCATTTATGAAACTTTGAGAAAATTGATTGAGAAGACGACGATATTTATCCATTACGCGCTCACAACGCGAGATAAATTAATCTGTCGCAAAATGATGCCAATTATACGTTCGTCGTGATACGTGTCTATATATGTGACAGAGGGGAGTTGTAAGAGTGTTGACAGAAAGTACTAAAATTTAATTAGAAGAAAGAGTGAAACAGTGAACATGACTTTACTCTATACAGCAGCACAGAGAACACCTTAATACCTCAAAAATCTTAACTCTTAATCCCATCGACAAATCTCTGTTACACAATATTTTGCCCGTCCAATTAATGATTTGATTTCTTCAGTATAATCGTTCTTCTTCTTCTACGGCACTACAGCCCAAATTGAGCCCTGGTCTCCTTTATTTTTTGCCTCCACCCTTGCTTATCTGTGGCTGATCTTCTCCATACACGGACTTCTAAAAGAGCTTGTGCGTCGCTGTTTACCGTATCTTCCCAGCGCTTTCTTCGCTTTTCAACCGGTCTCTTTTCCTGAATTCTAGCATTCAGTACACTTTTTGGTAGCCTATCCTCTCTAATTCGTATCACATGTCCGGCCCATTGCAATCTTTGTATTCTAATGAAGTCTGACAGTGGTGCTTCCTTATATTTGATAAAGCTCGTTGTTGTATTGATTTCTGAAGATTACGTTTACAGGTCCTAGTATTCTCCTCAGTACTTTCCTTGCGAATGTGTCGAGTTTGCTTTTATATGTTTCTTTGAGGACTCATGCTTCACTGCCATAGCATTCTATTGGTCGAATTAAGGTTATATAGATTCTCATCTTTGTATTTCGGTGGACGTTTTTAGACCAAAATATATGGGAGATCTCTGTAACGTTTCAATTAACCAATTAAAAGTGACACCAAGCTCCGCTTGGTACTTGTCCCCCGTACTGTATTATTCCAAAGCGACCCTACTAAATTATAAATATTTTTAGTAGCCGTTCCATCCTATATAAGCCGATACAAATTTTTATTTTGCTCTTTTCAATCATATCGCTACAATCATTCGACAATGAAACTTTAGTCACACAAATTGGTTAGTGTCTTAGCCGTATACACGGCCACTACCGTGATGAGCAAACAACAGCCAACCACACTACCTTGGGGAAACACTACCACACTACCTTAAATCCACTGATTATCAGAATATATTTTAAAACCCATTTACCAACCTGGGGACAAAAATGATTGCTATAATCTAGACCAACAACTGCCCTTAACCCAACCAACAACCACCAACGGCGGCTAACTTTTACAAAGATCAGAAGCTTTCCTGGAGAACTGAACGACTCCTTTAGAACAAACTAAAGCTGAGTACTTTCTTATACTTTAAATATTTTATACCGGCAACCGGTAGAATATTTGAGCCTCAATTTAAAAATTTATTTTTGTTTCACATTCATAATAACATGAATTCTTTTTGTTATTATTTAATAAATATATATACCTTTACTATGACTTCGTAAGTTTTTTTTATTTCCTATATCTTTCTGGAATTGCTGTGGGGACAGAATGAACAGGGAACGAAACCAGGGCTGAGCAGTCGGACCACCATTCTGATTGATGCGTGACTGTGTGCGTTTTTCTTTTGAATATCCTTAGGGATATGCGAAGAATGTCTCCCCTCATGTCTTCCAGCAGTGTCGTGTTGCTTAACGCCCTGGTCGTAATAAGATTAAGACATTACAGCTCTGTTTGCCTGCGTTATTCACTTCCGTATTTCTCCATCTTCTGATACGTCGGCATATATTTCTCTCCCCTGTATGTAAACTTTACAACCGTTTCAATGTCATTTTCATGTATTATGTTTTTTGGGACTATATTTCGTCCCGTCTGTATCATTATTTTTGTTTTTCTGTGTTAATTTTCAGACCTAGCCTTTTTGCTTGCGTTTTTAACTCTGCGTATGTTTCCTGTGCTCCTCTTGATATTCTACTCATAATATTAATATCATCGGCATAAGCGGCCAGTTAAACCGTTCGGTTGGTCAGTAGGTTTCCTGGTCCAATTTGCATTTGCCTAACCGCATACTCCGGTGTCAGGTTAAACAAAGTTGGGGCCAGCCCATCTCCCTGCTTTAGTCCCTGCGAAATTTTGAAAAAGTCTGTCCGGTGGTATTGTATTCGTACACATGCTTGCGCTTCATGCATTGTGGCTTTAATAAGTCTAATTAGCTTTTGTAGTATTGCCAATTCAGCCAATATATACACGCGTCTACAAACACGTTTTGAACATCAATGTCATGCTTCCATGATTTACTTAACATCTGTTTGACTGTAAATATTTGATCCAGTGTCGATCTTCCTCGTCTGAAGTCCGTCTGATACTCTCCAATAATACTTTCTGCTAATGGTTGGAGCCGCTGGTTTATAATCTACGTGAGGACTATATGCTGTACATAGTAGAGAAATTTCATGGTAGTTTTTGCACTTTAGTTTGTCTCCTTTTTTATAGATCGAGCATATTATACTTTTCTTCCAGTCGTCAGGTATTTTCTCTTCTTTCTATATGTCTTTGATAAGAGCGTGAATGTGACTTGCTAGGTGGTTGCCACCTACCTTATACAATTCTGCTGGTATTTCGTCAACTTCCGGGGCCTTGATAGCTTCTAGAACTTCCTCTATGGTTGGAGCTTCTACTCCATTCTTAACTGCATTATCTTCTAGGTGATTCGTACCTATTTCATCTTCCATATCTACTTGTGTACCAAGTAGAGTCTGAAAATATTGCTTTCAGGTTTCTGAGACTTTCTGTTGGTCACTGATTATTTGCCCACTTTTATCTTTAGATAGACTTGTTTTGGAGTTTATACCCACTTTTTATCTTTTTTGGGTATTTGTAAGCCCCTCTAATTTCGTTGTTTTTGAAATTTTCTTTCATCTTTTCTATTTGTCCGTTTTCATAGACTCTTTTTTTATTTCTACATATCTTGTCTGCTTTCCGTCTTGCAACTTCAAATGATGTTCGTCTTTTCCGTGTTCTCCTTGTTATATACATTTTTTGTGCTTAATTCTTTCCTCTATTGCTTGTCTGTACTCTTCATCATGCTCTATACCCTAACCATGCTCCTCTTCTCGCCTTTTTCTTGTTTCTCATGGTGGATGCTGCCGCTGTCAGTACTGCTGTTTTGATATTATTCTATTTGCCCTCTATAGAGTGCAGTTTTAGCGTCCTTAACTCATTTGCGACTTCTTCTTCGAACTTCTCTTTACATTCCTGAATCTTCAGTTTTTCTAGGTCCAGTTTATTTGTTCTTTGTTGTCTTTCGTTTCTTTCTTTGTTAACTCTACATCTAATTTTGGGTTACAGTAAAAGATGGTCTGATTCACAACATGCTCCTCGTAGTGTAGTATAGTCGTTGCTGTCGTTAATTATTGATCTTAAATATTTGTACTTTTGGACTTGTTTTATTTGTACTCCGTAGATCATTAGGCTCTCTTTATGTTATTGTGATTTATTGATTACCATAAATTGAATTTTTTTCGTATTCAGAGATGGTCCTCATTCTTCACTGTCTTCCACAATTTGATTTACTAATTACTGTAGATTTTCGAGACATTTCGCTATCAGCGCCATATTATCAGTGTGCGTATCTTAAATTGTTGATAGGTTTTGCGTTCACTTTGTTAATTCCTTTTAGCGTTTCATGGATAATTTCCCCGGAATACTTATTAAACAGGATAGGTGATAATATGCATCCTTGTCTGATACCTTTTCTTATTTCGCTTTTATTCGAAAGCCCCTTTATTCTATTCCCTTCATTATAGCCTGTACCATATATTAATAAGGCTCATTACCAAAGTACTAGAAGTTTTTCCTGGATCAGATAACTCAGGCAAGCTTAGAATTGCTATATTTTAATATTCCCATTTAGGTCAGGGGAAGTTATCTCACAGGTAACATATCTTAATATGGCCCCAATATATTTCTTTATTAATAATACAAAGTACGGCTCTATGCTATATTTCTTTATAAATGTATTTTTACCGAAAAAAATATGTCGAGTTTTCGTTATAGTTTGTTATAGTTCTAGTATATAGAAAGAAAATGACCTACTTTATTTTCTTTACAGGTGTGCCTCAAGGTGATTCTTCCGAAGACATGCGTTTCAGTATCCAGCCTCTACCGGGCGATACAGGATTTTCCCAATGGGTAAGCGCAATGAAGATGGTCGCCCAGCTACCTGGAGGTATTCCTCCAGAATTTCGAAGAAGACTGTGGTTACAATTAGCTGACAGACATCTTTTAGCTAAAGGTATGATTTTTCGTTAATTTTGAATTAATATGACATTACCATTAGTGATTATTGTACCGGAAGTAAATCAGCAAGTACTTGATATTTACTATTTTTGTTGGGAATAAGCCACAATTTTACTTTGAAATTAAGTTTGTTTGTTAAAATCAAATAAACTTAATTTTAGAGTAAAATTGTGGCTGACAAAAATATTCCTGACAAAAATAGTAAATAGCACGAAGATGCCATAAGAAAACAGCTTCAGAAAGAAATGGCTATACTTGATATTGATACGTTAATACAGCTTTTGAAAATATGAAAACAAAATAAAACAAGATTTAAAAAGAAAAAGGCAGTCAATATTTGATTTCACTTATAATGCGTCTGTGTATCTGCTTATACGTATTTCGCCCTAATAGGACTCATCAGAAAAGCTATTCTGTATGAGTATAAGAAATTAATTCACTAAGGATTTTTGCTTAGTTGAGGAGATATGTCGTAGAATGCAAATTTTAGATTCTTCATGTCTCTATTAACATCTTTATCAACGTCTGTTTTGCCTTGCAATTCTTAGAAGGCACAGATTAAAGCAAAAATCTGAATTCGGTGTCGAAAATTAGTTTACGGACTCTAATATCAGATGTCGCTATTTGCGTCTATACGAAGCGATGTTAGAGTTGATTCTTAAGACAGAAAAGATTTATTTTCACGTTCAGAATGCCTGTGAATAGCTGTTCTGATGAACTCTATTAGGGCGAAATACGTCCCTATGATGATAAACTGATGACATCAGTATTGAACAAGTAATGAAAATAAAATACCTGAGAATTACACTGTCTAATTGGTCTTATAGACCAATAATGACTTATAGAAACAAGACCCGACATAGCCGCAACGCAAAGGCTTTTGGAAACGGCGGAGATGAGAGTACTAAGAAGAGTTACGGAAAATGCGCTAAGAGATTAGAGACGGCAAAGATACAGTATTGTGCGAATTAATGGAATCATAGGCTGTTTTAATGAAAAAATAGTTTATTTAGTAAAAAATTATATTTTGACAAAACTATAAAGGTAAACTTACATCATTCAGTAGGAAATATGTCCTCCTTTAGCAGCAATTACTGCTTTTACCCGTTTTGGCATAGAATCTATGAGTTTCTGGCAGTTGTCAGATATCCTTTCATCTCGATACCAAACCTGAATGGCCGCTTCTATCATTTTTGTTTTAGTGGTAGTCTTGATAGTCGATTTTTCGCAGTCTAGCTTTGCAAATGGATCATAAATTTTCAATGGGGTTGAGGTCGAGGCGAATTACCGGGCCAATCTAAAACATTAATCTTCTTATTTTTGAAAAATGCCATCATTTCCTTTTTGATTTGTGACAGGGAGCAGAGTCCTGTTGAAGAATCGCTCCTCCTTGTGGTTGACATTTTTTGAGTTGTTTGTCCAAATACTTTTCCAATATGGATTTGTATTTTTGGCTGTTCATCATGCCTTCAATTCTCACCAAAGATCCAACCCCCATGTATGAAAAACATCCCCAAAACATTTTCTTGACTGGATGTTTTACAGTTTGATCAATATGAGAGGGTGTAATCTTTTTATTGTCAGACTTCCTGACGAATTTCGACCGCTGTCCCTGAACTATAAAGTGGGTTTCATCTGTAAATACGACTTTTTTCTAGTCCCTACAGTCCAATTAGAGTATTTTTTGGCCCACAGTAGCCTTTGTTTCTTCATTCGTTCAGTTAAAAGCTGTTTTTTCTGTGAACGAATTGCCCTTATACCATTCTCCAAAAGTCTTCTACGAACAGTTGAGTCATGAATCACTATAGCTAATGCTGCTAGATCTTGTTGTAGGTCTTGGCTTGATTTTCTTGGGTCCAATTTGCTCTTTCGAAGTAAAAATCTATCATCAGCTGGTGTTGTTTTTCTCTTTCTTCCACATTTTCCTAACCTTTTCACATCCACTGATTCCGTTTCTCGTTTACGCTTTAAAATTTTGCTTACTACCCCCTGGCTCACTCCACACGTTCTAGCAATCTCTCTTTGTGACATACTAGTGTGTTCACTCAACGTGACAATCTTTTCACGCTTCCTAGGCGTAATATCCATGTTGGAATAAAACCAAAAACAACACACAATAGTACAAAAACCCCCAAACAACACAAGCTTGGTAAGAAATGACCTAAAACACACTCAAACACACCAACACACATTAAGGTTATGTTTTTAATGCTTGGTCAGCTGTCAACTGTGTAGGTAGTGTTGCCAACTGTGTATATTGAAAAAATGAAAAAAATTCACAGTGATTCCATTAATTCGCACAATACTGTAAGAATACTGAGAACAATTACAGGAAATACGCTGGGAGAAAAGAGAAGTGAAGACATTCGAAGTGAATATAACGTAAAATGTATAAAGAAATAGACACAAAATAGAAAAAAAAAGAATGAAATAACCAAATAAGCAGATACACAGACGCATTATACGTGAAATCAAATCTTGACTATCTTTTACTTTTTATTCGAATATAGGTACTCTGTATGAGTACAAGAAACCAATTCGCTAAGGATTTTGGCTTAGTTGAGGAGATATGTCGTGGAATGCAAATTTTAGATTCTTCATGTCTCTATTAACATCTTTATCAACGTCTGTTTTGCCTTGCAATTCTTAGAAAGCACAGATTAAAGCAAAAATCTGAATTTGGTTTCTAAAATTAGTTTACAGATTTTAAAACAAGATTTCTTTGTCTTTTTTTAGATCCGTGAGCTTTGTTTTTAAGATATGATGTTCTTATTCTGCCCGGATTACATTTACCTTGAATATATCACTTTATAACGAGTAGCAAAAGTTTATATTTTTCATGGTGTCTCATAATGTGAACGAAGTGTTCTAGCTTGCATCTTTTTTAATATTGATCTGCTTCTTCTTCCTCTTTATAAGCAATTCTGCAGAATGGCGGAATAATACCACTATGACAGGTTGTCACTCCACCTTTTGCGCGGTCGTCCGATACTTTTTTGTCAATTGGTGACTTACTTCTTGCTATTTTGACGACACGGGTCTGCTTCATTCTGCTTATGTGGTTATTTCATTCTTTTTTTCTATTTTGGGTCCATTTCTTTGTATATTTTACGTTATATTTACTTCGAATGTCTTCACTTCTCTTTTCTCTCAGCGTATTTCTGTAATTATTTTCAGTATTCTTATCTCTGCCGTTTCTAATCTCTTAGCGTATTTCCCGTAACTCTTCTTACTACTCTCATCTCTGCCGTTTCCAAAAGCCTTTGCGTTGTGGCTATGTCGGGTCTTGTTTCTATAAGTCATTATTGGTCTATAAGACCAATTAGATAGTGTAATTCTCAGGTATTTTATTTTCATTACTTGTTCAATACTGATGTCATCAGTTTATCATCATCATTTTACATCTGGTCGGTTCTTGGCTGACTACTATTATTTTAGTTAGCTAAGATGATGTTATTTTCATCCCATCTAAATTCTTTTCATCTTGGGCTACCAATATTGCGTCGTCTGTGTAACAGAGTATTTTGATTTCTTTGTTTCCCATTCTGTATTATCTTCCTTTGTTAACGCTTTTGATGATTTCATCCATGATCAAATTAAAGAGCAAGGGGCTCAATGAATCCCCTTACACGCACACACACACGCAGTGATCAACCCTGCCTAGAGGAACAGTGACAACCAAACTAAGTATGATGGGATCCACATGTCCGAAGACACATGGGTCACACTTCACTAGTTGAAGTGGTACCTCTCTGACCCTCAGGCTTTTCCTCCACCCCTCCTCATCGTGTGACTTACGTGAGGAGGCTTATGATCTGAAAGTTACTTAAGTTGCCCTGGGTAATGAGACACCCTCTGTTTTTATTGACTGTGGTTATGCCACCTATCTGTAGGGGTAGCCACATCTAGGCTTTTCTCCCTATTTACTTTACTGACTCTATTGATTTTACTTTACTTCTAAAAAGAGCGTGTGTTCCGTCCATGGAGTCGCCATGGACGGAGCTACATGGCGAGTTCCAAAATGAGGACCGAGCTCCAAAAGAGTGTGACCGGCCTTCTATATAGAAAAACAAAATGAACTGATTTTACGTTAAAACGTTTAATGAAAAGAGTTTAGATTTTAAAGTATTTAATATTAAAAGAAAACAACCATTTTTTTTGTGGTTTGGGGGTCTTCCTTGTGGCGTTGGGACTATAAAATGGCTGGCACAATTCTTACCCTTTTTTATTCTTACATGCTAAAGTGTGTGGGTGTATTGGGGTGTGCATTCCAGGATGTATAGGGCCTTCACACACCCCGTGTATAGTGTTCTTAACTATCCCATTGTCTTATTCCACTGCCTATTTCTATGGCTTATGTAAGTTGTCCATCTATTCTGACTTGCATTTTCTCTATTATACCGAAAATGGATTACATCTTTGAGTCTTACACTGTCAAACGCTTTCTTAGTATCAATCAGACACAGAAATAATGGTCTATACTCTAGTGTTTTTTCAGTAATTTGCTTTATATCGAATATTGCATCTGTACACGATCTTCCACTACGAAAAGCCTATGGTGCATCTGCTAAATTTAACCACTTATTTATTAGTACTTGCAAAATTTTAGTTGTAAGTTTTAGGGTAAGTTTATACCTCTGTAGTTTTCTGCCTGTTTTTTATCTTCTTATCTGAATAGTAAAATTAGTTCTCTCGTTCTGAATTCTTCCGATTTTATTGTGTTTTATAATTTTATTAATAATTGTTTTGTACTGTATTGTGCATTTATATTAAGTTCTTCATTTGTGGTAATTTCTGGTGTTGCCGGTTCTAGCGTCGTTTGTTCTTCCTCAGCATAGAGTTTTTTTAAGTAGTCAATCGACGTATCCTTTTCTATGTCTTTTGGTTCTCTTAGTTTTTTTACCTCCATTCTTTAACCTCTTATTCTTAACCATATTTCCTTTTGCAGGCCGTAAAAATCATGTTCCATTTCTTTCGAAAAACATTCCCAGTGATCATTTTTTATTTTTCTTACAAGTGCATGTTTTTCGTTTCTAATTGTCTTGTAATTATGGTATGCCTCTTGTGTTTTGGTTGACATGTATTTCAGGTAAGCTTTCTTCTTTTATTTACGTTTTTCCTTCACTTCTGTACAAAACCATGGAGTTATTCGCCTTAAGAGCGATTTACTTTTATTTTGTATTGATCAGTTAGATAATTTGATTCGATGGTAATATAATATTATATTTTTATATTGATCAGTTTGCTTCAGCCTTCTGAAAACCTCAATTTCTTACTCTATCCGCTCTTATTGACATATGTCGACAGCTCAATCATGGTCTCACGTAGGATCCATTCTTCTATTATATGCAGCGAACAAAGTTAAGGAGAACAGTAAGCAAACATAGGAAAACAATGATAACCAATAAGAATATTACACGAATAAACGAAAAAGCATTATTTGAAGTTTTTAAGAAATAGAGTTTTTTCAAATTATGAAAAACTATTGAAAGTGGAATATTCTTGGAAGGAATAGGCTTTACGGATAACTGACAACACTATTTTAATCATATTGTTCTGAAGCTATTTTCTTATGGCATTGTAAATTAATTACTATTAAACTGGGAATAAACCACAATTAAAGATAAAAATACGTTTATTGACGTTTCAATTTCCACTTCGGAAATCGTTCTCAAAATACATACAGTAAATTAAACAAATTTTGTTTTTTGTTACATAGTGAAAAATTCTTCTAATAATTTAATTTTATCTGACTCATTTATATTGACAATTCAGACATACATTATGCATTTTAAAGTAGACGACTTTAAAATGATATTGCCAATATTGTTGAGTTGCGCTCCTGGGACGACTTTACTTATAAGATAGTTCATTCGATTACATGAAATCAACTTTAACTTGAGAATATCCGTCAGAAAAAAATCATAGCATGTAATTAGTCTTTAAAAAGACAAACACATGACATGATGACAAAATTACTTGTTTATATACGATAAAATATACGATAAATATACGATAAATGCGTTTAAATATACGTTTAAATATACGATAGAGCCAATATTACTTGTTCTAACGAAAATTCGTTCTTGAAGGAGAAACATTTGTTAACATCTGTTTTATTAAAAAATGATTATCCTTTATCTTTTATAAATAAGGAATTTTCAACAATCGATCGAATAGAACAGAACAATTTAGAACGAGATCCTACAGCATACACAAGGAATAATATGAGGAAAATAACAATACCGTACATAAAAGGACTATCAGAAAAACTTAAAAGGATAGGAAATAAATTCAACATTTCAACAACATTCAAAACAACAAACACGTTGAGATCTATTTTGTCCAAAACCAAACCTAACAATGAACAAGAGAGGACAAAGAATTGCATTTATAAAATACCTTGTGAATGCGATCAGTTTTATTTAGGTGAATCATCAGGGCATTAAAGTTAGAATAAGTGAACATCAATCTTATATTAAAAACAGAGAATTTGATAGATCTCAAATCTGTAAACACGCATAGGATAATGAACATAGGGTTCAATGGAATAATTAAAATGTAGTCCTAAAAGAAACGGATAGTAAAAAAAGAAAAATCAAAGAAGTGGCTCTAATTATGGTAAATGAGGCCAATTGTGTCGCAAATTCCTCTGCAGAATGTAGTAGGATCTGGTTACCAATATTGAAAGAGGAAGTTATTAATAAGAAAATACCAGTATTAGTAAGTCAGTAACATATAGAGGATACATCATTTATGTTTTTTAAATAACGTATATAAAATCAGAATTTTGATGTTTGTTGAAGGTAAACTAAATTCACGAACAAATACTTACAATGTCGGGATAGTATTATGAGGTTTTTTCCTGGTTTTTCCCTCATAATTTACTATGGAATCACTAACAGGAGAATTTTACTGTCATCATGTCATGTGTTTGTCTTTTTAAAGACGAATTACATGCTATGATTTTTTTCTGACGGATATTCTCAAGTTAAAGTTGATTTCATGTAATCGAATGAACTATCTTATAAGTAAAGTCGTCCCAGGAGCACACTTCAACAATATTGGCAATATCATTTTAAAGTCGTCTACTTTAAAATGCATAATGTATGTCTGAATTGTCAATATAAATGAGTCAGATAAAATTAAATTATCAGAAGAATTTTTCACTATGTAACAAAAAACAAAATTTGTTTAATTTACTGTTTGTATTTTGAGAACGATTTCCGAAGTGGAAATTGAAACGTCAATAAACGTATTTTTATCTTTAATTGTGGTTTATTCCCAGTTTAATAGTAATTTATTTCAATCATGTCTCAACAAAACGAAAGAGACCTCTCAACTCTATTTAAAACTATCGACGCATCGCAGTCACTGATACATTAAGTAAAGTATAGAAAAACTTTACCCAAATAGAAAAACCCAAAATAGAACATGATCAAAAACTCAATACATCTTCTATTTGTAGACCTAAAAAAAATCTTATAATAGTCAATAGTTTCCTGTATATTTCTCCTACTTCTCCTCTGTCTCATCTAGTAAGTAAGTACTTGTGTCTTTTCAATGACTATATTTTTCACTTGTTGCTTCCATTGTCGTCATCCTTTCTTGATTCTTATTTCTTTTTTTATCTAGAGTTTCACAGGCTTTCAAGCTATTCCATTTATCATTTATATCTCATTTTGAATATTAATTTAAGCATATTTTGCAAAGATCTCTTATATAAAAATCATGAATGTGTTGCTTGTGTGAGTCCATTTCAAATAGGTAAAGAAATAATAAATAAGACTTACTCACAATCAATTTAATTTAACTATCAGACGACCGGTTTCGCTTTCTACAATATGCAAAGCATCCTCAGGTCTCGATACAAAGTTAAACAAATGCTAAAATAATAAAAACCCATATTAGGGTGTTGTCTAATAATGATAAAGAAAGTATATCTTGTAAATTACAATAATTATGCCAATATTACATGTCTGTGGTTTTATTTAAATGAGTAAGTTGAATAAAAAGTATAAAAGTTTTAAAAGTTTAAACAGACAAGGTAAGGCCCACAAATTGTTATAAATAGTCTCTTCGATTGTAATAAATTAATAAATGATCAAATAAATAAAATAAACATTACTTACATGCCGGTACTCTATTAATTGATGGATGGTAGAACATGGTTGAAATTACTATGTATTGTTGAATGGAGAACTCACCGTTCAGAATCTACTCAACAGAACTAATTATTGTAATTTACAATATCTACTTTGTTAATCGTTATTAGACAACACCCTAATATGGGTTTTTATTATTTTTAGCATTTGTTTAACTTTGTATCGAGACTGAGGATGCTTTGGATATTGTAGAAAGCGAAACCGGTCGTCTGATAGTTAAATTAAATTGATTGTGAGTAAGTCTTATTTATTATTTCTTTACATATCTCTGATATATTTTGTTTATAGTAAATATACTTCAAATACTTTTTCGTATCTGAGTGATCAAATTATTTGCTTTCTTCAATCGACTTAGTATGCACGTTGTTCCAACTACTGGATAGTAAAATATATTTTAGTTCCACGGTATATCAGAGGCAAAGTATGTTGCCTTTGGTTTTGTAATTTTGTATTTAATATTATTGATCTCTGTCGTAGAGCACTCATTCTGTGTATTTATGAATATCTTTATGCCTAAACTCATCTTTCATCTTTCGAAAGGGTTTAGGAATAACCTAAATCAACACTTATCTGAAGCATACGCCGTTTTAAATATTTCATCCATTTTCTGTGAAAATATCGGTTATATCCAGCCCCTCTTCAAATTTGAACGGTCTTGGAAATCTGATGTGTATTTAGGTGTGCGAACAACTGCAGATGCACGCTACAAAGTTTCCCAGATAAACGATCCACGTCCCATGACAAGTTACTCTCTTTCCAAGGAAAATAGACGTTTATTTTGTTTACAGGCGTGGACTGGCCGAAGGTGGAACGGACTTGCTTCAGTGAATGGTCCCATCCGGCAGATGCAGAGCTCGGAGTGCAAATCGTCAAAGACTTGCACAGGACCGGCTGCAGTTTGTTCTGCGGTGAAGATGGACAGGAGAATCAAGTTTTGCTTAAAAGGGTGCTACTGGCGTATGCTAGATGGAACAAGGCTGTAGGTAAGTTTGATTTTACATATATTTTCACTTACAGTTTACATGTTACTCAAGTTATATACTTAAATTTTATTAATTAGATTCAGTTATAACAATGGTCTAGAATTTTTTGTTTTCTTCATTTCAAAGTTAATTTTGGATTGAGAGAAACGACTATAACAATATAATTATTTTATTAGCTGCTATTTGTATGATACAGTGCGTAAATCTTTCAACTGGACATAGGTAATATCATCGAGCAAAAAGACAAAAGAGGGAATCTAATCCTTATGAAAAGGAGACCAAAAAAGTGGCCTTTGATGGCGGACATATCCGGAAATGCGAATGCGCCAAATTTAAATTTTCCGACACTTATTAACAGTAGCTATATAATATTTTTCAGAATGTGTCTTAGACGAGAAAGTTGTAATTAATTATTAACGGTAATAGTCTAAAACTTCAATATAAATAAGATTTCATGTGAAATTTGGGACAAACAATAACACAACCCAACTAAATTTGATGTCAAACAAGGAGAGAGACTCTCTTTCCTTGTTTAATGTGGCCTCTAAAGATCGTACTTCCTGTCTATAGGCTATTCCACGAATACACGACTGTTTTGGTTTACTGCGACAACGAATATTTTACTGTGCAAGTAGAAGTATGAAGGTCAATTGGTCTAATCATTATTCCAATAAAAAGGGTCTACTAGTATAACATCTAAACTAAAATTATTTCAGTTAAAATCTACAAATAAATACAATGATGTCTATGAAGCCAAATGTGTTCATCAGACATTTGGGTGAGCTTTCCGTGAAATGTAAACACCAAAGAGGCGTGCCGGGTTTCTTTGATATAACACATTTTATTACTTTATTAGGTGTTATAACTGTAATAAAAGAAATATACTATTTTGAATATAAATGAAAAGAAATTGGCAGAACGATGGTTCACAAACCAGAAAAATAATTCAAAAACCAACTTGTTTACAATGAAATAATTGAAATGAAAAAATAAACTCCATGATAGTAATTATATACTTCAAAATCTGAATTACAACTGTTTTATAAACTATTAACTTTATATTTATATCATGACTTCATATTTACATCTAAGGTTTATATCTGTCGTAACAGTATTTTAAAAATGGGGAGAAGTTACTATTGTACAATTTAGTACATTGGACCAATTGAATCGACACCTTAAAGCGAATTTAAAAAAGTCGTATATTCGTGGAATGGAGTATAACAATATTTTTGCTCCCACTACTTTTACATTCCCTCTTTTGTCTTTTTGCTCGATGGGTAATATACATTAAGGTAATTATGGCAACTGCTCTTTCTTATTTTCCGTGCTGTAGAAAAATATACAATTCCAGAGGCTTCGTTCGAGGTAAAACTTCGTCATCTCAATTTCGACCAAAAGTGGACTATGATTTTTCCCCTGACTCATCAAATACTAAACTACAAATTGAAAAAAAGAAGAAGCATGGGACGCCAGATGAAAATACGGCGCAAAGTTTGATTATTGTTAAACTTCTTTATAATCACTTATTAAGAGCAGCAAAAAATATTACAAACTTTAACTAAGTAGCAAAACTATTTAAAAACTCAAGAGAATTGGAGGATTGCTTGTAACTTCATTAGGGCTCTGAATACTGTAGGGGAGAGGCTTGTACCCTGGGCAGGATTTTTTAAACAGGTATTACAAATACAATATTAAAGTTATATTTTTAAAATTTACACTGGGGCAGGTATAAACTATTGTAGTATGTAAAATAAAAATAACAACTGATTACATGAGTGGGTTTTCTTAAAAAAAATCCTGAACGCCTACAATTTGCCAAAGGTACAATACCTTAGGCCTGTACCTTGGACCATTGGTAAACATAATTACCAAAACTTTTATTTTAATAATTAACAGACACATTAAAAGTTACATAGGAACAAAATCCCTTTATATTGTTTTATTAAGTTTTGTATAATAGCGACCATTTTAAGCAAAATGAGTTACCAATAATATAAATCAATGATTTATTATTATTAAACATAAGAACAAACAATTTAAATACCGTAAACTTTACTAGCCAAATACTTTTCAAAATCAAAGTTAAAAGTATGAATATCCTGTCGACGTTTTGAGGATCCATCTTTCTTGGGAACTTCCACGACGCTATCAATAATGTCTTCCTTTTCGCTTTCTTATGCCTTTATATCATTAGGCAGAAGTTTTCAGATAAGCAGATTCTCTTCAGGTAATAAACCATTATTGTTGGGAGTTGTTTATGAATTGTTGAGATCCTTCGATTGGGAAATACTGATTTAGTCTTTTTAATTTTATTGCCTGTTAAATGATGCTTTCTCGGTTGGGTGTCCATAATTTTTCTTTTCGCAGCTGTTTCAAAATAGAAACTGAAACATCATAAGCAATAGAAATACGTAGAGGAGTACGACAGAGTTGCATTTTGTCACCTCTGTTATTTAATGTATATAGTGAAAGCATCTGTCAGGAAGCCCTTTTACAAGCAAACGGAGGAATCGTAATTAATGGAGAGATTGTAAATAATATTCGATACGCGGACGACACTGTACTAGTTGCAAGAACAGTAGAAGAATTACAAAGATTACTTACAGACATAAATATTGCTTGCAACAATTATGGTATAAATATCAATATTAAAAAAAACAAGTATATGGTCTTCAGTAAAAACATTCATATATGTATGTTCCAGCCATTGTTAGTATGTTTAGCTTTTTGAAATTACCTTTACATGAATCTCTGTATCTCAAGTTAAGTAGAGTTCTAATTGCTCTTTTTTGTAATATAAAAACCTGTTCAGCGTTACCACTTCCCCCCAGAAAACTATTCCAAATCGCATTACAGAATGAAAATTTGAAAAATATACAACTCGTTTACATTTTTCGTCAAATAATTTGCTGATATTCTGAAAGAGTAGCAGGTAGATGCTAACCTTAAACAGATGCTAACCTTATACCAGCGTATATTAGTATAAACGGCACTCAAGTTGAAAAAGTATCAAGTTACAAATACTTGGAAACTTTAATAAACGAAACTGGAGACCAAAACAGTGAAATAAAAAGACGTATCGAAATTGCCAGGGCCACCTTCATAAAGATGAGAAAATTCTTCTGCAACAGAAATATAAGCATCCCTCTACGATTAAGAATGCTGAGAGGCTATGTATTTAACACGTTATTATACGGTGTAGAGGCCTGGACTCTCAAACAGAACAACATGAAAAATATTGAAAGTTTCGAGATGTGGTGCTACCGTCGAATGCTGAAGATTAGTTGGGTTGAAAGAATAACAAACGGTGAAGTAATACGAGAATAGGAAAAGACCCAGAGATTTTGTTAACGCTAAAGCGAAGAAAACTCGAATATTTTGGTCACCTGATGAGAGGACATAAATACGCATTACTTCAAAATATAATGCAGAGAAAAATAGAAGGAAAACGGAATCCAGGCCGTAGAAGAATGTCATGGTTGCGGAATTTGAGAGAGTGGTTTGGCTGTACCACTAATGAACTCTTTAGGTCAGCCGTAAACAAGGTCAGAATAGCCTTGATGATTTCCAATCTCCGATAGGAGTAGCACAAAAAGAAGAAGAGCTGTTTTCTTCATATTTTTGTTCATTCTTTCCTCGTGCTTGTTTTCTATTTCAGTTTTCCCAGGCGTATCAGTTAAGACTCGACACTTGCACCTTTTACGAACTTTTTGTATGTTTGTTCTTGGAGGTGCCTTAGGTAAAGGACGGACTACCTCGGGTGACTTGTATGGTAGCTCAGGTTCTTCAATCTCAGCAGTTATTTTATGATTATTAATAGGGGGTCTAAAATAAATGTCTCCATTGATCGTGTTCTTGAAATACATTTTCATTCACTGGCCAGATCCCTGAAACTCTGAATCCAGATTCAATATTTGTGCGATTAAATGCTAGTTTATATGCCTGACCAGAAATTTCAGCGACATCGTAAATAGATATTGGTTTTTCTGGGTTTCTTATCATCCATTCTGTGCACGCGTTGTTGTAATAAGTTATATATGTGCCGAAAACACTGCGATCGAGGGGTTGGAGCTTATATCCCGTATGAGGTGGAATAGTCATTATTACAATCCCATGTTCTTTAGCTAAGTTGATGATTTCGGGGGTAATATGACGTTCTTCTTCTTCTTCAAGTTCCACTCCTATCAGAGATTGGAAATCATTCTGGCAATTATAATTTTATTGGTTACTTGCCTGAATAGTTCAATTGAACTGCATCCAAACCATTCACGGAGGTTGCGTAGCCACGAGATTTTACGTCTTCCTACGCTTCTTCTACCTTTGATTTTACCCTGCATTATATTCCTTAGTAGTTCGTACTTTTCACCTCTCATGATGTGCTTCAAGTATTCCAATTTCCTGATTTTTATGGAATTTAAAACTTCGCATTGTTTTCCTAGTTTTTCGAGAACTTGTTGTTTGTTTTGCGATCCATCCATGATATTTTCAAAATACGTCGGTAACATGATTGACGTTCATGATTGTCTAATATTAATAATATTTTATCATCGACGGAAGGCTTTGTGATTTGTACAAAATGCCTTAAAAATTCTAAGAAAATGACTACATTGGACCAACCACTGGGATAAGCCGTTCCCACCGAATCAGCAGGTGCACCTTTCAGCATATAGGGCTTAAAATTCACTCTGGGAAATATGTACATAGGGAGGACAGCATTCTCTGAAGCACTTATAGCAGCGATAAATGTTACATTAGTACCCTTTCTCCACTTGTAGGTTGTTTAATACCCTTGCAAGCTACAATTTTCCAGGAACGTGATATTTGTGTTATCACTCTCATCAATATTGTATATTTTACTGGGTGTGAAAGTATGCTTTTAATTTTGAAGAAAATAATGAGACATTGTGTTTGTTGAAGCTGGTTCCGCGAGATAGGCTAGTGGCCTGTGGCTTTCTTAAACTAAGTTGCTTATGGCGACTCAAAAGTCAAGGAACCAC